CCGCGTTAAAAACTGGCCGACCAATGAGATTGGGGCTTTTGTTCACGTGCCTGGAGCTGCTGAAGTTACAGTAAAACACGACTTGGTGGCGCTCAAGCACAAAACGGTCTTGCCGAGCACACATTGATACCTAACGATGAAGAGGAAGTAAGTAGACCAAGAAGATGCATCGAGGCAAGATGAATGTAGAGCTGCTGGTCTCATTGGTGTGACTGTCGTGACTACTTGTGTGTAAATATCTCTTATCCCTGAGAGCTGCTAACAGTCTTTCTTCTGTGTTTATGAAGAACCGAGAACTTCAGATCATGAGAAAACTGGACCACTGCAATATAGTGAGGCTGCGCTATTTCTTCTATTGCAGTGGAGAGAAGGTAAAAGAACTGTGACATTTGTTGCAAAGCTCTATATTTACACTACTGTTAAAAAGTTTGGGGTCAGGAATGTTTTTTTTTTTATTAATATTTTTCAGCAAGAGTGCGTAATGCATTAAAATGATTTAAAGTGATAGTAAAGGCATTAATGATTTTAAAGAAAGAATCCTGGTTGCCACACAAAATATGAAGCAGCACAACTGTTTTCAATATTAGTAATAATAAGAAATGTTTCTTGAGCAGCAAATCAGCATATTAGAATGATTTCTGAAGGTGATACTGAAGACTGGAGTAATGATGCTGAAAATTCAGCTTTGCATCACAGGAATATATTACATTTTGAAATGTATTCAAATACAGTTGCTTTAAATTGTAATAATATCTCACTATATATATATATATATATATATATATCGTTTTGATATATTTATGGTAGGAAATTTACAAAATATCTTCGAAAAATATTTACGAAATATCTTCATGGAACATGATCTTTACTTAATATCCTAATGATTTTTGGCATAAAAGAAAAATCGATAATTTTGACCCATACAATGTATTTTTGGCTGTTGCTACAAATATACCCAAGCGACTTAAGACTGGTTTTGTGGTCCAGGGTCACATATATTAATGAATAATAATTTAATGACATTATTTAGTCTTTAGTAATATAAAAATGCAGGCCGATTAAGATATTGCCATTTTCTTTAATATAAAGATGCTTACTTGTCGTCTTGTTTTCTCTTAGGTGTATATGTATCAGCTTTTCCGCAGTTTGGCCTATATCCATTCCCAGGGCGTGTGTCACAGAGACATCAAACCACAGAACCTTCTGGTGGACCCAGAAACAGCTGTTCTCAAGCTCTGTGACTTTGGCAGGTCAGTGCTGTGTGTGAGAGAGAGCGTGAGCGAGCGGGTGAATGGATCTGATGGCTTCTCAAATGTGTCCTTCTGCCCGCCAGTGAACATTATGTTCAGTTTTAATGGGTGTTACACTATAATAGTCATTATATTTTGAGAGAGCACCTCTTTGTAAGTGTGGGCTTTAGTTGGTGTCTAGATTTGATTTGTATTGGCGATGCATTAACTCGCCCCGCCTCCGGTCTTTGTAAGTTATATTTGTTTTTGATATTGCATTGTTAAATATGTTAGTGAATGGCATTGTTCTTGTCCATGGTTCACTGACAGAAGCAATATGCATTCAGATATTGATGGGGCCGGTCAGATTGTCTCTGATGTGATCCTTTGTCCTCCAGGCTGCTTTTTCTGATGGATTTCCATTAAAAACAGTCTTTTTTTCAAAGCCGCTTTTATGAGAACCACTTGAACCCTTGGATGATAGGCAGACATGTTGACCACTGTAATCCAGACCGCATTTGTTTAATTTATTGCAAGTATTTAATTTGTGATTGTGTAAGGCACTTGATGGCATTCAGGCCGTTAGGTTTTCTTTTGAGGGAACATGAACATTGCTTTTTGTGTCTGTAAAAAAGTGGACGATTTGGCAACTCAAGGGCTTGAAAATAGTTATTTGGCTGAGTGGAGAGATGCACATCAGACTGGAATAATCGCTCTGTTTGAAAGCGAAACAGCTGTATTGAATTTAGGAGCTGTTTTCCCTGCAGTTCTGTCATTCAGGCATGTTTTAGTCCATTCGTTTTTACTTGCTTAAATTAAAAAAATGACAAAGCATTCAATGCCGAAACCACTGCATGAACAATAGTGGTGAAATACTCTCTTTTGTACTAGGATGGAGGGAGATTTTTATGGTATTGAGCTTGATTCAGTGTTTGTTTTGTTGAGGAGCTATAAATCTTTCATTTGTTTCATACTGACTGTCTGATTAAAGTTTTTCTCATAATTCAAATCTGTCTCTCTCAGTGCAAAGCAGCTGGTGAGGGGTGAGCCCAACGTCTCTTATATCTGCTCACGATACTATCGCGCCCCTGAGCTCATCTTTGGTGCGACAGACTACACCTCCAACATTGACATCTGGTCAGCTGGATGTGTGCTGGCCGAACTGCTGCTGGGGCAGCCCATCTTCCCTGGAGACAGTGGTGTGGACCAGCTAGTGGAGATCATAAAGGTAAACCTAACCCTTTTGAGCTGTACTTTTAGATTCAGTTCAACACTGTTAGGCAAGATGATTTAATGATTTTTTAAAACCAAATGAATACTTTTATTCAGCAAGGGTGCATTAAATTAATCGCAAGTGACAGTAACGACATTTGTAATGTTACACAAGATTACTATATCAAATGAATGCTGTCTATTCTAGGTATCAATAAATCCTAAAAATGAATGCATCACAGGTTCCACAAAAATATGAAGCAGCTCAATTGTTTTCAACATTGATAATAAGTGTTTTTTGTGGAGCAAATCAGCATGATTTTCAGCTTGAAAATGCAGCTTTGCATTACAGGAATAAATTACATTTTAAAATATATTCAGTTAGAAAAACAGTTAAATTGTAATAATATTTCACAATATTGCTATTTTTTTTCTGTATTTTTGTTTTAATAAATGCAGCCTTGGTGAGCATTAGAGACTTCTTTCAAAAACAAAACAAAAAATCCTTGAATGCTAGTGTTTTTTTTTTAACTTTAACCCAGCATTCTTTACGGATGTTTCTGTTTGTCCGCTCAGGTACTTGGAACACCCACAAGAGAACAGATCCGTGAAATGAACCCGAACTACACAGAGTTCAAATTCCCACAGATCAAAGCACATCCATGGACCAAGGTAAAATCTCACACAAATATCTGACTCACATCTACAGCCAAAGCCATGAGGTATCAGTTAGCAGTGTTACAAAACTGGCTTATAAATATTCTCAAGTAACCACTTTTGACAATCTGCAAGTTTACTGCTTGTTCTGTCCAAGAGACAGGAAGAAACCATCTGACCGACATGTAATGTAACAATTTGAATAACTTACAAAGGTTTTAGACTTGACAAGTTTACCAAATTCGGCAGTTACAATTACCTTTAATTGATCATTTCATTGTCTACAGGGCCCCAGACTAAAAAATAAAATAAAAAATCAATTAAGGAGCCATTGACTCCTATAAGAAACAAATGACTAATGAGCTTATAGATGTAGAATGGTTATTCTGAGGTCAATGTATTGTTACGTGGCATTGCTTACCTAAGCTTTACACGTTTTCCACAGTCTGAAACACTGAATGAGCGATTACATGAGACATTTCAATAAGTTGTTCTAGGGCTGGGCGATATAGCTAAAAAATATATCACGATATGTTTCATATCATTCGGTATCGATAATTATTGACATTTTTTATAACCTTTTTTTAATACAGAGCACTAGAAATTTTTTTTTAAATTTAACCACTGTATTTTTAATTTGCCCACTTTATTAA